TATATTAAAAACCCTACAAAGGGGTAACGTCCGATCGAGCTGAAATTTTTACCAGATACTCCTGCCATTGTATCCTAATTATGGTAATAGCGTGAACTCGTGAAACTTTTCCTAGGCTATTCTACAGGATTCCCCAAAACTCATGCTTTTTGGTCGAAAATCCGATTTTATGCTTTCATATTACGTTTTAAAGAAAAACTAAGGTGATATTTGGAATCAGCTCGTCGAGCTGCATCAGACCATATATATAATAGTTTAAAAAAAAAATTTGATCCATTTTTAAAGCAGATCCAGGCCCGAAAAACCTACCGTTCCGTATAATAAAAACCCTACAAAGGGGTAACGTCCGATCGAGCTGAAATTTTTACCAGATACTCCTGCCTATGTATCCTAATTATGGTAGTAGCGTGAACTCGTGAAACTTTTCCTAGGCTATTTTACAGGATTCTCAAAAACCCACGGTTTTTAGTCGAATATCCGGCTTTAGGCTTCCATATTACGTTTTGAAGAAAAACTAAGATGATATTTGGAATCAGCTCGTCGAGCTGCATCAGACCATGTATAAAAAGAGCCATTTTTGTCGAAGTCATTTTTGGCAAAAATTTGGCCGAAACTAGCTGGTATGACCGGAAATTCAGTTTTAGGCATTTATATTACATTTTGAAGAAAAACTAAGGTGATATTCGGAATCAGCGCATCAAACTACATCGAATGATATGTAGCTTAACATATTTTTCAAAAAAAAAGATTTTTCGAAAAAAAAGGCTGAGGTCCCCCCGAGCCATATTTTTCGAAAAATTTTTTTTCTTAAAAAACCTATTATTTTCTTAAAAACGATTTTCGGAGCGATATACTGTCATTTATAGTCAAATGAAAGCCATTCCTAAGCAAAAAAACCGCATGTCCGCCTGCTTATGCGAAAGCTCCCCACTGTGAGGAGATACCTTCGTTTTTCCGCAGCTCTTTCGTAAGGTGCTGATTTTTTTACCGTTTAGTGAGAATGAAATTACAATTGAATTCAGAATCACACCTTTCACAAGACAACGAACTCTGAGATGAAAATATATTATCTGAATGGCGTAAGCTTAATACAAATAGTATAGCCGTAGCTACCGTTAAATAATGCCCAAAAATGACCAAAGTCGAAGAAGAACGGGTAGATCACTAGCAGTGAATACAAACGAATGAAAAAAAAACTATATAAAAATGCGAGAAGCGCATGTTTATGTTCCTCTTTTACTGCAATGATCACTGATGCATATATCGTTTTTCTTTCGTCTTAACAAAAAAATAAACAAGTAGTCAGGTAAAAGAGTCGGTATACAACGCCTTTTCTCGAAAAGAAATAAGATGCACTGGTTGACTCTCTCTAACATTAATGAAACACGTCCAGGCAGTAATGATTAGTTATCGTTACCAAAAAAAGTTACTTTACCTGATACCTAGTAACTATTGAGTATTCACACTGTAATGATGAAGGGAGAAAATCAATTAAATTTTTTTAACATTTACAAGAAAAATTCAGATAAAAGAAGATTTCAGTAAAATATGATTTTTGATTTTTTTTATTTCATCCAATAATTCTAAAATTTACCACTTAGTGTTGTATCTCGTTTTATATTTATTGTACTACTTTATTTAAAAAATGATTGATTAACTGTACACTCGTCAAAAATGACAAATAAAAATTGTTTATAAATATTTCAAATGGTTTTTTCTTAGCAAATAGAAGTTATTCATAAGAGAAAATGTAACATAAACATGATTAATTTGAGAAAAAAAACAAATTAATTAATAAAAATCCAAATCTTAACTTGAAAAGACGTTGTGAAAAGCTTCTAAAATAAATAAAAAATAATTTGACAATTATTTTAATTTTAATTGATTAGAAAAGAAAGTCAGCTCTTTACTCTGTACAGATTTTTGATTGTCTTTAAACATTTCGAATTTTTTATTAAAAATTTTCAATACATTCAATTGAACAGAGATAAGCATTCTTTGTAATTTGACAATTTATTTCGGGTGTGCGTGTGGGTGCGAGAGAGACTTTAGTAAACAGGGACACCCACACCCTGAGAGCATCATATCTTAAATTTCAACGAAAATAAAGCTTTTTTTTCCCAAATATTTATTTAGTTATATAACAATGAATTAACGTGAAGATAGTAACCCAGGTTAAAGTCGATCGAAACAAACCAAATTGCTCAAATTTTTAAAATGCGTTGTCCGGTTCTCAATAATTTCTCCGTTATCAATATTGAATACAATAAAATTACTTTTATTTTCATTTGTTATACTCCATAGTGTTATCCATAAACGTTTATTCGTATTCATTGTGTACGTTGTTGACCAGATATATTTTTCAAACGGAATTTCGCTTTTCCCAATACGATCAAACTGAATTTCATATTTTGCTGTAATGATGATTTGAGCTAAAATCCAGCCGTTTGTCGTTGAACGTGAATAAACTAGAGCAATTAGAGTATCATTAGTAGAATCATAGTCGATTCCATATATTGTATAATCCATTGGAATTCGAATATTGACGTCTAATTTTCCTGTATCAATATTGATACCATACAATGTCGAATCAATAACATTATAATACAATCGGCGTTTCGATGCATAGACCATTACAAAACTAAATGAACCAGCTGGATATATTCCAATAGTTTCCATGAGACCTGTTGTCCGATTAATTTTTGCTACTTCTAAACTTAATCCACCACTTGCGCTTTCTCGGATACCAATAATGTCATCATCATCATCATTCGCTACTGCTATTTGAGAAAAGTCTCCATAATCATGTTTTTCGATTAATGTTAAATTAAGTTCGATCGATTTGGTTTGTATATCAATTATTAGTAGAAAAAAATGAAGTACACCCAAACTATCAAAATGATTATACGTACTAACATATTTCTGATTGTTTAGTTTTGTTGACGCTGCTGAAGTAGAAAATACTGAACCACCTAAGTTCAAAACACGATGGTAAGATGATGCATTATAGATTTCAACAAACATCGTTTCGATAGATGATTGATCTGTTGCCAAAAGTCGACACGAAAAAATTGAAATGAAAGAAATTATCGACAATAAGATCAGGATAGTATGTATCATAGAATGAAAATATTTTTTATTCATCTTAAATATGATTTTAAAAAATTTTCACAAAAGTACTTTTATCGCAAGATGAATATTTTACAGGAAGTAGGAAGTTTTCATCGTTTTCGTAACGAGAAGACTACAGCAAAACACCGTTTTCAAGCGCTATTTAACTTCCGTTTTTTCGACAATGAATATGATTTCAAGTTTTTATCACTATTGAAAGCCTACACTTCGTCTTGTTATATAAAAAAATCCCCGAGTAGCGTTGTATTATTGATATGAGAAACAAAATGTTTCCTGAATACTTCTAATATGTGGCCTTTATTTTGATGATGAAACAATGGACAAGATGTCAAATTGAAAAAATTTAAAAGCACTATTTCCATAGTGTGTTATCAAATCTGTAATGAACAACAGATCTGCAATCATCTTTACAGCACAATAGGATGATTAAATGCGTGTGACATGCGCCTCTCCATTGTTTGTAAGAAGAAATAAATATCAGTTATCGAGCAACATAGACGAGAGATACACGAGATATATGCGCACATGGCGTATGAAAGAATCTAATGATAAGAAATGAGGCCATTTTCGTCATAAAACCAACTTTTTCTTGTGAGACACGATCATATTGTTTCGAAATTTCTACCAAAAGTCGAATATAGTAGGAAATTGGAGAAAATGATCTCTTCACTGACTACATGTGCCCAACGGCACACATAGACTTGTTTCAATTTTACTTTTTCAAACGATTTCTCTATTGTTGGCATCTAGCAGGCTGTAGGTATAGATGTGATTTCAGATGAGAATGTGTATATTCACACCCCATCGAAAGTAATTGGTCAATATATCTAAACTTATCTAACTTGTGAAATCACATTCATAATTTTTGTAGGTCAAATGTCAAAGCTTGATAATCAAATTTAATGTTAAAACTCGAAGCCAAATACTCCACTGTTTCAAACAAATTCTTTCTATCCCTTAGATTGTGAACTCTTCAGAACAATAAATCTGATTATCAAGTTTTGATCTTTGATCTGTGAAAATAATGAATATGATCTCGCTAGTCAGATCAATTCAGATGTCGTGACAACTTGGCTAAGTATGAGTCCCTCGAAAAGATGTTTTCCTTTTTCATCAAAAAGTTTTGTGATAGAATGATTGAAAGTAAGGTACATAGTTAAAGATTCTTATGCTCTATCAATTGATATTAACCGATAATGAACCAGCGTCGAGAGTAAATGCCTGCATGACCACCATGACGGGAAGTTGATCAGGAACACTAGAATAGTCATATAGTCTCTTTCGGAATCGAAATAGCTAAACATAATTCATCACCACAAAACAAATAATAAAAACCCTAGAAATGAAATTTATTCATTTTTAAAATATTTCATCTTTTTCAACTCTGTTTATTACATAATGAAATTAGAAAAATATTATTCATTTTATCATTCGATCCATCAGACGAAACCAAATCTTGTTATTTCAAGAATCATTCTCTTTATGGAAATTTCAGTTTTAATCTATAGAATTTTTGTTTTATCGCATCTTACTGAACGCATTGAAATATTTTGTTTTTTTCTTTCAGATACATACACTTTCCACATCCGACACTTAACATTGATATTGTTCAAACGAAAAGTAAAGAGGGTGTGGGTGTGGGTGTGGGTGTGGACCTGTGTAGTCAGAAGATCTACTTGCACACCCACACCACCACCCTCACTCTCACTCCCACACACTCACACCAACACACCCATCCACACCCACACCATCAAGTCTACCCAAGCCTACATCCTTTCCATGATGAAATACAATACAGAATTCTATGAAGTAGTACAATTTCGATCCAAAAATGATATTCGTGATCAATTTTTAACAAAAATATTAATAAGAACGGCATTTTTCTATCCTTTTGTTCTTCTTTTTTTCATATTTGTATTTGGGTTTTCCCTTGTTCATCGTTTATGAGATTTTGTAGTTCTTCTTATCACTCTATATATAATATTATGTTATTGCATACAGATAGAATGGATAAAGTTACAGTTATAAAATAAAGTATAATGGGATTTAGATCTCATAGTGAAACTTCAAAAGATCGTTCTAATGCGAAGTTTTAAGAATGTCGATGTCATACTTACTAATATAGCTGAGAAAGCTTTCTTGAATGCAGCATGGCTTATATTGAGACCACGTTGATGCAAAAATAGAGATAATTCAAAATAGAATATGAATGCGAATGTCGGTAGAGAAATGGTCTTATCCATACCCCAGCCTACTTGAGTAAATATAAGATCGTAAGCACCAGTTCAAAGTTATGATTAATCGATAGATGTTTATTGCTTCTCTTTGTTTTGGGAGGTACTAACTTATACGCCATCTATTTTTTTCTTATTCATATTTCTTGAGGGAAAAAGCATTTTCAATGAATGGTCGTTTGATTGTATTTGTTTAACAGCTCATTTTCAATGCTAGCTGCAATTGATCAGAGATAATAAATAAGCAAATATTCTTATTTTGGTTAGCTACCCACCACTTAGTCGATTCAGTATCTCTTCCTCTCAGGTAGACGTCATTTGGATGGCTATCAATGTTTTTTTTTCTTTCTGTTCTCTACTAAACTACACTATGACAGAAGAACTATGCCTTCAAACGACGGCCACATTGATTTTTTTTGCTCTTTTCTCGCATTCTTTGACAAACATCATGTACGCATGTTATCTTGAGAAAAGAAAAGTCATAATATTCTTCTAGTGTCACACAAAAACGCAAGTATATTATTATAAACTACAAAAAAAAACGAGTGAATTATGAGTGCGTCATTTTTGTGACATTTCGCTAGATTTTTCAATAAGAAAACAGAAAAAATTCGTATATCATTTTATTCCAGCTCTAGAAAGTATGAGGTGAAAATAATTGCAAGAAATAGAAATTACTTTACAGAGGCCATTATATGCTAAAGTAGTTATCAGAACATTGATTTATTAATTTTCAAAAAAGGAATAATTGCTCACTAATGAGCCCATATCTGAATTATTTATTTTATAGTAGTAATCGATAAACATCAATTCTCTTCGTATTTTAGCGATCAATTTTTACAAGTCTTTGAAGTAAGATGAGAAGTAGCAGTAATTTTATTCTGTGATTCGTCGTTTTCTTCGTTAAATCTCAATCCGACTTAAATAAACTGGTTGTTTTATTTTAATTATATTTTGAAACTTCGAATTGTAGAAAGTACAGCACCATATTTCATCAAGTGAGTCAAGTTTTTTTAAATTGAAAGTCGGATTCGATCAGAACTTCTCAGAATCGTATACAAACTGATTAGATTCCATTTCTAAAAAAAAGACTACCTTTCGACAAGATTTTTTTAATGTTGGGTATAATAATATCGATTAATAGTTAAAAAGATAGAGCTAGATAAATCA